CTTTGTGTGTATTTCTGCACCCCATGTAGGTGTGTAAGTATGTATATGTGTAAGGTTTTGTGTGTCGCACAATTTAAAAAAAAAAAAAAAAAAAAAAACTGATATATGGGTCTGATCACTTTTTTAATGAACTGACATCATTCCAGACTGGATGTAAGTGTGTCTGTGTCTTCCTGTACGGACTGAAGGCTGCTGGAAACTGTCCGACTTCACCGCAGCTTTTTGTCACTGCCCCCCGCTGCGGCCGCCTTCTCTCGTCTACTTTCCAGGCGAGGCGCAGTTCATCTCGAACGTTTGGGGCCAAAATGTGAAAAAAGCCGTACTGGACATCGCGAGGTTGCCACTGAGGTCTCGCGATAGTTCGTTTCTCGAGCACACAGTACTTCCATCATGGCAGGCAGTAAGTTGGTGCTGGAAGGTAGAGTAAGTGTAAAAGCATTTGTTTTAGGACTCAGCGTGATTGTAATTCCATTAATCAGAACGTGGTTTGGACATCTCGACTGGGTCTTTGATTATCTGACGGAAACTCCCGGGAAAATAGTGATTTGTATCCACATTGCAGTTATCAACGGCCTCTTGCTAATCATATACAGAGGACCTCTATACAAGGTAAGTATTGACGTTAGGTAACGTTAACGTTAGCCAACTTCCTGACTTGATTCTGATTTTATCTCATTAAGAGTAAAGTGCACATAACTTCCAGTGCTGTCTCGCGGTAAAGTATTTCATTAGCTCAAGCTAATGTTGGCACAGTTGACTGACATAACGTCATTTAAACTTTAATGTTGCACAGCTAATATTAATCGCCTAGCTAGCTAACATTAGCTACCTGTGTAGTTAACCAGACTAACGGTAATCTTATTAGCAAAAGAGGAACAAGACAGCTGGCGTTGACGTGCTCAAGATAGAAACCTAAGCCCGGTAAAGCTGCAGTGGCTTCTTCCTTATTTATATGTTGGTTTGCCACTTTACAACCGAATTTAAGAGTGTGTGGTGATGATGGTAAAATATCTTCTTCCATATAACGTTAATGCTCAGTGTGTGGTTTTATCACCGGATAGCCTAATACATAATTAAAAAGCCAGATATTAAGTATGAGTTTGGCGAGAGCCCCGGATAGAGAGTCTGCAATATAGCCCGCTGAAATTTGCTGTTAATCTGAATTAGCAGTGCGATCAACTGGTGTTAAAGGGATAGTTGAGGTGTTCTGAAGTGGGGCTGTATGGGGCATTTATCCATAAACAGTAAATTGACACAGATGTCCGTCAGCACACCTCAAGTTTGGAGAAGCAGGCTGGAGTCTGACATGGAAGCTAAGCAATGGACTGCTGTGGAGGGGTCAGCAACAAAATGAATTTTAGACACTGAAAAAACGTCCCACTCAAAAAACAACAATATATTAGTTCAAGTGTACGGTGTATTGAGAGTGTTTTCACTGTTGTACGTCACTGTCAGTGATTTTCAACAAGAAAATTAACCTGGTATGGTGTTCCCTTGAAAGCCAGATTCCATTGAGAAAACAGTGATCTAACATTGCTGAGCACAGGAGCTGATGGTCTACCTTTGCCTCCATCATTTATTTTGTTTGTGTGACTTTGGTGCGTAAAATGGGTAAGTTCTGATTCACCAAAGTCACAATATCCCAAACTAAGTAACTGATCGAGGCAGTAGTAGACCAGCAGCTCTTGTGTTCAGCGAGCTAAATTTACAGTAGCGCCGAGATCGAAAAGTGGCTGAAGGTATGTCGATTGCTGCTCAGCGGCATATACCGATCCCCAGACTGGCATAAAGATCCCTAGACTGGTATATACCGATCCCCAGACTGGCATAAAGATCCCTAGACTGGTATATACCGATCCCCAGACTGGCATAAAGATCCCTAGACTGGTATATACCGATCCCCAGACTGGCATACAGATTCTCGGAGTGGTATGCTGCTATTATGCCGCTGTTATTCCACCGACACACGACGGTATGTGCCGCTTGAGATTGTTATGGCACTGAGAGACGGTTGGATGGGTACCGCCCCCTGATGAATATGCAAATTTAATGCCACTGGGCTGGTTTGACGACAAGTACTGCCGTTAATGTATACATTTTTTTGTCTTTATTGACAATGCTAACTTAACACTTTACCGCAAGTTAAGGATCTATGTTGTTATGTTGTTGGGATGTACGCATATAGACAGTAATTACACGTGGGACTCTTACGATATGACAGTAAAGTAATATGTCTAAATGTCCGCCCATAAAGTACTTAAAGCTAATGAAAGCGCTATCCTTAGCTAACATGGCTAATGTTAGCCCAGTCACCGTAGCCAGTCTGACTAATCGATAGCAGAAACTTTGAGTCAACCAACAAAACAATACTTAGTGACAGGTTTTCATTATTAGGACACCTCCAGCAGTATAAGCCTTTAGGCATGGAAATACCGCTACTCTTCCAGCGGTATAAGCCGTTAGGCATGGACACTTCCAGCGGTATAAGCCGTTAGGCATGGACATACCACTGATGAGCCAGAGGAATATGTCGTTTATATGATGCCAGTGGCCACCAACTGGGATGCAAATGTTGATTTGAAGATGCTGTTTTAAAATGAATGTGTCACAAGTCACCATTAAATTTGTTCACTCATTTTGATCATTTCTTTCGGCTGAGATATGATATTGATAAGTGACTGTGTGCAGCCGGCAACACATTTCCCGGAGATCATGGTAGTGTAACCGAGCAGGTGTAATTGCGCCTACAGGCTACTAGGGATAATAAAATAAAGATACGGGAAACTCTATTCACTGAACGGGTCGCACTTCAGTCTTCAGCGCTTTTGCCTTGAACAACCAAAAAACATTCAGACCACACACATTTCCGTTATGTCCCTTCAAAATAAAAGTACTCGACCAGAAATGGTTTACAGTATTATGTTCATACATTAATGTAAAACAACAAATTACGCTTTACAGCTGGAAAGCACATGCGCAGACACTGTAAACATGGACACTTATTACCAGAGACCGTACTACTATTTAGAAAATAAAAAATGACTTCACCCTATGATGTTTGTTATGTATTTCACCCCTGTCAAATACCACTTAGCCTAAAATACTCATAGACACACATTTCATATACAGTACAGGCCAAAAGTTTGGACACACCTTCTCATTCAATGTGTTTTCTTTATTTTCATGACTATTTACATTGTAGATTCTCACTGAAGGCATCAAAACTATGAATGAACACATGTGGAGTTATGTACTTAACAAAAAAAGGTGAAATAACTGAAAACATGTTTTATATTCTAGTTTCTTCAAAATAGCCACCCTTTGCTCTGATTACTGCTTTGCACACTCTTGGCATTCTCTCCATGAGCTTCAAGAGGTAGTCACCTGAAATGGTTTCCACTTCACAGGTGTGCCTTATCAGGGTTAATTAGTGGAATTTCTTGCTTTATCAATGGGGTTGGGACCATCAGTTGTGTTGTGCAGAAGTCAGGTTAATACACAGCCGACAGCCCTATTGGACAACTGTTAAAATTCATATTATGGCAAGAACCAATCAGCTAACTAAAGAAAAACCAGTGGCCATCATTACTTTAAGAAATGAAGGTCAGTCAGTCCGGAAAATTGCAAAAACTTTAAATGTGTCCCCAAGTGGAGTCGCAAAAACCATCAAGCGCTACAACTAAACTGGCACACATGAGGACCGACCCAGGAAAGGAAGACCAAGAGTCACCTCTGCTTCTGAGGATAAGTTCATCCGAGTCACCAGCCTCAGAAATCGCAAGTTAACAGCAGCTCAGATCAGAGACCAGATGAATGCCACACAGAGTTCTAGCAGCAGACCCATCTCTAGAACAACTGTTAAGAGGAGACTGCGCTAATCAGGCCTTCATGGTCAAATAGCTGCTAGGAAACCACTGCTAAGGAGAGGCAACAAGCAGAAGAGATTTGTTTGGGCCAAGAAACACAAGGAATGGACATTAGACCAGTGGAAATCTGTGCTTTGTTCTGATGAGTCCAAATTTGAGATCTTCTTTGAGATGGTTCCAACCGCCGTGTCTTTGTGAGACGCAGAAAAGGTGAACGGATGGATTCCACATGCCTGGTTCCCACTGTGAAGCATGGAGGAGGAGGTGTGATTTTGCTGGTGACACTGTTGGGGATTTATTCAAAATTGAAGGCACACTGAACCAGCATGGCTACCACAGCATCCTGCAGCGACATGCCATCCCATCCGGTTTGCGTTTAGTTGGACGATCATTTATTTTTCAACAGGACAATGACCCCAAACACACCTCCAGGCTGTGTAAGGGCTATTTGACCAAGAAGGAGAGTGATGGAGTGCTGCGGCAGATGACCTGGCCTCCACAGTCACCGGACCTGAACCCAATCCAGATGGTTTGGGGTGAGCTGGACCGCAGAGTGAAGGCAAAGGGGCCAACAAGTGCTAAACACCTCTGGGAACTCCTTCAAGACTGTTGGAAAACCATTTCAGGTGACTACCTCTTGAAGCTCATGGAGAGAATGCCAAGAGTGTGCAAAGCAGTAATCAGAGCAAAGGGTGGCTATTTTGAAGAAACTAGAATATAAAACATGTTTTCAGTTATTTCACCTTTTTTTGTTAAGTACATAACTCCACATGTGTTCATTCATAGTTCTGATGCCTTCAGTGAGAATCTACAATGTAAATAGTCATGAAAATAAAGAAAACACATTGAATGAGAAGGTGTGTCCAAACTTTTGGCCTGTACTGTACGAGTAAAGGAAATACTGCCTATGTCTATGTAACTATATGCTCTCCACCGACTGCACCGCCTGGCTCTCACCTGATCTAACAGCTGATTGGTGTAGATGTCGACTCAACAATATGACGTTTTAGTTCAAATTTGATTTGTCTGATTTGAAGGTTTATTCGGTAACAGAAAACATGTTGTGTGACTGATGGTGAAGTTTAGTTGCCAGAGACTGAATACATTCATCATAAACTATACAGAGTCTACTGAATATTAACACTGGACTGTTTTAATTATTGAAGTAGGCCTATTTAGCAACACAGAGACTTGTGGTCAGTGGGATGTGAGGATTCCTATAATAACATGTGTACAGATGTGAAGCCCTGACTATATCTGACTGATCTTTAATGAAAGCTGTTGTCTTTTTTTTTTTTTTTTTACTCTGAAAATATTAACCTTATAGTCAGTCACAATTTATATAGCCTGTGTAGTTGAGGGGACAGGTCAAACTGATTTGATGCTGATTTACATGAAAATAGGATAAATCATGAACATAAACTACAGATCACCTGTAAAGCATTTTAATAAATTAATCTATTCTACACTGAACAAAAATATAAACGCAACACTTTTGTTTTTGCTGCCATTTTTCATGAGCTGAACTCAAAGATCTAAAACATTTTCTATATACACAAAAGACCATTTCCCTCAAATATTGTTCACAAATCTGTCTAAATCTGTGTTAGTGAGCACTTCTCCTTTGCTGAGATAATCCATCCCACCTCACAGGTGTGGCATATCAAGATGCTGATAAGACAGCATGATTATTGCACAGGTGTGCCTTAGGCTGGCCTTTAAGATGTAGCCTCCTTGAAATTCACCCATTTAAGGATCCTTCCTTGACTTTAAAAATCACCATCTGTTTTTGTCCGTGGAGCCTTGTGGCTTTGATGAGAGCATAAATAGATGGGGAATTGAAGCCATCAAGGGCTGTCTGACGAAAAAAGTTAAAGTTGTGAAAATACTGTAATTATAGCATACACTTAAACTGATACTGTTTTTTAGATGGCATTTTTTAAGTGGCTAAAATAGGTTTTGTTGCTGACCCCTCCACAGCAGTTCATCATTTAGCTTATGTGTTGGACTCCTGCCTACTTCCCCAAACTGTGAGCGTGCTGACTGAAATCTAGCATATGTAGTACACTGAATATGAACAAGTACCCCAAACAACCCCTCTTCAAAAAATCTGAACTGTCCCTTAAAGTGGTCTAGAGAGAAATAGGGGTTTGTTTAGGTCTAGCTAGCTGTTTGACCCGGGATAACCTGAGTGTCCTAACTTGTTCTAGGTTGCTGTGAGAGCCTGCTTTCTGGGAGTTGCTTTTGGCTGTGGCTTAATTATAAGCTGCTCTGAAACCACTTGGACACATTTCGGCTGGTATGTACATATTTGCAGACATCAGTCATTTAGTATGGTCAGTATATTAAGTAACATGAAACTGTAGAAATTTCATGATTTGGTTTAGTTAAATCTTGTATCCATGTGTTTATTAATAGTACCCACCCAATAGTATTCCCTGACTTTTTTCATTTTGTATTGTTTCACACCATAGAATCACAGTGTATTAAATTAGACTGAAGACCACAGTAACGATAATTCCTTGATTAGTTAAGCTCTACAGAGTTACACAGTGAACCAGTGTATGCACCATATTTTGACAGCAGATATGTATTTTGTAGTCCAGGCCTACTGCAGTTGAACATGTGTAGTAATAGTGCCTCTCTGCAGGTACATGTGCTCGCTGTCATTCTTCCATTACTCTGAGTACCTGGTGACAGCCATCATCAACCCTCGCAGCCTGTCACTAGACTCATTCCTGCTCAACCACAGTGTGGAGTACACCCTGGCTGCGGTCTCATCATGGGTGGAGTTCACTGTGGAGAAACTGACCGTTCCAGGTTGGTGTGTCTTAAGTCTTATTGTCAGTCCACTCAGCACCATTGTGTGTATTTTACCGGTAGCAGTAGAAAGGTTTGCCTGTCAGTATTCCAGTTAGTGTTGTCACGGTACCAAAATTGGGACCCACGGTACGATACCAGTGAAAGTATCACAGTTCTGAGTAGTATCACGATACCAAAGCAAAAATGAGGCAGATGTGCCTTTTGTCATTTATAAAAAGATAAATTACTTTTCTATAATACATCAATGATATTTCAATGGAATAAATTACTTATTGACTTATTCATACTTCAAAAACAGCATCAATAAGTGATTAACGTGTAATTATAACTACTTGCAGTGAAAATGAAGAGACCCCACACCAGTCTTTTCTGTTAACCAGGGCTTTATGCTAACCTTTTTCACTAGGAGCACATGTGCTCCTAACTGAAAAAATGTAGGAGCATCATGTGTGTGGTAAGGGCCCAGCACACACACACAGGGCTACCTTGGGCCTACTGCTCTACTATTTGACACAAAGGATGTCTTTAGTCCACTGGCTTTTGTAGTTGGGTCGCCTGGCACGCTTAGCTGAGTTCATTGGAGTTCAATTTTAAAAACTGTTGTTGCTATTAGTCACTAGCACACAAAAACGTGAGAAAATGGGGTCCAGGTTGAAAAATACCAAAGTTACCCTTTTACGTTTTACAGATTTCAGTCCTGGTTGATCTGGCGACAGACCTGGGGTCCTCAGACATGAAGTCTGCAGTTTGACCCTCTTACAAAAAGCAGGTGATGTGTCCAACTGCTCAGCCTCAGCTCTGTAGGTAGAGAGGGATATACAGAGACAGGGAATTAGAAAATTGCAGGTTGAGTAGAAACATAAAGTACAGAAGATCAAATCTTAAATTGAAACTTGTTACTGGTTTGTTCCAAATGTTTCAACCTTCAGTCAGTTTTTGAAAGTGAAATGAGTTTGGTTTAGGTTAGACTGAATTTAACACTTAAAGGGAAATTTCGGTTTATTTCAACCCGTCTCCTATCTTCCTAAATTTGTTTCAAGGGACTAGTGACATAGAAATAATAGTTAGCATGTTAGCCGTTAGCCTAGATACAGCCGGGGCGCATAGTAGCGTCAGACCTGTTAAAACATAAGTAAGTAAGTAAGTAAGTAAAGTTTATTTATATAGCACCTTTCACAGATACTAGACCACAAAGTGCTTTCCAGTAGACAAAGCAAGTACAACAATATAACACAACATTAAAAACAAAGCACAAAACAAAGCATTAAAAACAAAGCAAGGCAAAAGACAAGGTGTCTGCAAAGTGCAAAATGTAAATAAAGCATTAGATAAAAGAAAAATAGTAAGAGTTTGATGGGGTAAAAGGTAAGTGAACGGGCATACTTCAAGTACAAAGTTAGTCCACTAAACAAGCTTTTTTCCACAAAGACTGCCTCATATTGTTAGGATAAATGTCAGAGGACATATAGAAAACGACATGTAAACGTGTTGTCTTACCTTACCGGTGCGCTGCCATGTTTGTTGTTTACCATCTAGCTCTGCTTTCCAAAGCGCAGCCGAAATATCGCGAGAACAAGCAGCAATCTCATACCGTGCCTGAAGAGACAGACAGACAGACAGACAGACAGAGACAAGGAATGGCTACTGCAAGGCTGCATAGCTCTGGAGATTGCTGGTGTACCTGTGAATGCTGTGCCCCAGTGCGGTTGCAGCCTTATTTTCAAGGTCTGGATGTGACTGAGGACGAGACACCTCCACCTGGAGGAACGTTAGTATCCAGCTGGGCCTTATCTAGAGCTGGCGAGATATATTTCGGCTGCGCTTTGGAAAGCAGAGCTAGATGGTAAACAAGCATGGCAGCACACCGGTAAGGTAAGACAACACGTTTACATGTCGTTTTCTATATGTTCTCTGACATTTATCCTAACAATATGAGGCAGTCTTTGTAAAAAAAAAAAGCTTGTTTAGTGGACTAACTTTGCACTTGAAGGTATGCCCGTTCACTTACCTTTTACCCCATCAATCTCTTACTATTTTTCTTTTATCTAATGTTTTATTTACATTTTGCACTTTGCAGACACCTTGTCTTTTGCCTTGCTTTGTTTTTAATGCTTTGTTTTGTGCTTTGTTTTTAATGTTGTGTTATATTGTTGTACTTGCTTTGTCTACTGGAAAGCACTTTGTGATCTAGTATCTGTGAAAGGTGCTATATAAATAAACTTTACTTACTTACTTACTTACTTACTTACTTACTTACGTTTTAACAGGTCTGACGCTACTATGCGCCCCGGCTGTATCTAGGCTAATGGCTAACATGCTAACTATTATTTTTATGTCACTAGTCACTTGAAACAAATTTAGGACGATAGGAGACAGGTAAAAATAAACCGAAATTTCCCTTTAATTCTCAAGGTTGAGTCTGAAAAATTCTTAATTCGGACTAAACTTGGAAAGAAGCACAGGTCCATCTCAGACTCTACATGACATTCATCATACTGAGATTTTCATGTGTCCACCAGTATTTCATCCGCCTGTCTTCTCTCTCAGAGCTGAAGCAGCTGAACTGGGTGAGTGTCGTGGGTCTGCTAATGGTGTTGTGTGGTGAGGGCCTGCGGAAGGCAGCCATGTTGACAGCTGGCTCTAACTTCAACCACATTGTCCAGAATGAGAAGGCCCAGAGCCATGTGCTGGTCACCACTGGGGTCTACTCCTACTTCAGACACCCGTCTTATGTGGGCTGGTTCTACTGGAGCACAGGAACACAGGTGAGCTGCCACAGCACTGCTCAGCTCATTCTTAAACAGTACACCAGTACCATATTAAAATCACATCTCTCTTGTAATGCTGCAACTCAGATTGATACCTGGTTTGGATTTTTCAGACACTGTCATCAGAATGATATTCATCAATCCGCCAAGACAACCAAATAATGAAGTACATGCTAGATTTTAGCAACAATTCGCTGTTGAACAGTTCCCTTTCTTTTTTATCTGTTAACTGCAGGTGTGGTGTTACACTGCCTGGCCAAAAAAAAAAGTCACCACCAAAAAAAAAGGTCATACACTCTAATATTTCGTTGGACCGCCTTTAGCTTTGATTATGGCACGCATTCGCTGTGGCATTGTTTCGATAAGCTTCTGCAATGTCACAAGATTTATTTCCATCCAGTGTTGCATTAATTTTTCACCAAGATCTTGCATTGATGATGGTAGAGTCTGACCGCTGCGCAAAGCCTTCTCCAGCACATCCCAAAGATTCTCAATGGGGTTAAGGTCTGGACTCTGTGGTGGCCAATCCATGTGTGAAAATGATGTCTCATGCTCCCTGAACCAGTCTTTCACAATTTGAGCCCGATGAATCCTGGCATTGTCATCTTGGAATATGCCCGTGCCATCAGGGAAGAAAAAATCCATTGATGGAATAACCTGGTCATTCAGTATATTCAGGTAGTCAGCTGACCTCATTCTTTGAGCACATACTGTTGCTGAACCTAGACCTGACCAACTGCAGCAACCCCAGATCATAACACTGCCCCCACAGGCTTGTACAGTAGGCACTAGGCATGATGGGTGCATCACTTCATCTGCCTCTCTTCTTACCCTGATGCGCCCATCACTCTGGAACAGGGTAAATCTGGACTCATCAGACCACATGACCTTCTTCCATTGCTCCAGAGTCCAATCTTTATGCTCCCTAGCAAATTGAAGCCTTTTTTTCCGGTTAGCCTCACTGATTAGTGGTTTTCTTAAGGCTACACAGCTGTTCAGTCCCAATCCCTTGAGTTCCCTTCGCATTGTGCGTGTGGAAATGCTCTTACTTTCACTATTAAACATAGCCCTGAGTTCTACTGTTGTTTTTCTTCGATTTGATCTCACCAAACGTTTAAGTGATCGCCGATCACGATCATTGAGGATTTTTTTCCGGCCACATTTCTTCCTCGAAGACGATGGGTCCCCACTATCCTTCCAGTTTTTAATAATGCGTTGGACAGTTCTTAACCCAATTTTAGTAGTTTCTGCAATCTCCTTAGATGTTTTCTCTGCTTGATGCATGCCAATGATTTGACCCTTCTCAAACAGACTAACATCTTTTCCACGACCACGGGATGTGTCTTTCGACATGGTTGTTTAGGAAATGAGAAGCAACTCATTGCACCAGTTGGGGTTAAATAACTTGTTGCCAGCTGAAAGATAATCGCCCATGCAGTAATTATCCAACAGGAGGCTCGTACCTATTTGCTTAGTTAAATCCAGGTGGCGACTTTTTTTTTGGCCAGGCAGTGTATTTTGTATAGCAAGTTTACTATCATGTTTATCCATTATTTGCTGTCACTATTTATTTGGGTTTACAGGCCACCCAATCCAATCCAAGTAATACCTTTATTACTGTAGACTGCAAAACACATCATTCTGAGCTTTGAGTATATTTAAATTTGATCTTTTGTTGAGGTACTGGTTAAATATCAACATCAACACAACAAGAATTCACCAACACTCTGTTACACTCGGGTTACAGTTAAGTGGAGCTATGGTTATAGCTCGACTAGGCCATTTAATTGGAATGGGAGAGGACTGAATTTATTGAATGAAGTATGTCCGACTCCGCTATGATAGGTGGTGATATGCCCCCTTTCAGCTTTTTAGTATTGGACCTTTCCAGTTGACCTATTACGTCACAGACCAAACAATCAACAAACAAGTTAGCTACATTAGCTAGCAGCAAACTGGTAACATGGTGGACAACTTTACAGCTCCATACATTTTGTATGTCCTGTATGCTTTAGTTTTTCTTTTCTTCTCTTCTTCTGTCACACATATAATGCTATTCAACTTGCGGGTCAAAGCCCTGGGTGGCAACTAGTGAGCAGAGTCCTGCACTGGTCCATTTTTGAAAACCCACACCCGCCCATACCCCTAAAGCTTAATACCAGAGCTGACCCATTATCCGTCATTATGTCTGCTGAAGCTGCACCCGCCCACACCTGTTAATTAAAGTGTTGTGACCCACACACACCGATCTGCATGAAACTCAGTGAACATAATCTAGGGACCAATATCTAAAGTTCCCTCTTGGCAAAAGTTGGAAAACTTACTAAAACTGAGCTTCTATAAGGCAATGAATATTGCGGAGGGCATGGCTCATCACATAGTGTGTCATTCTGTCAGTCAGTCATTCTGTCTGTCTCACGTTTTTCTACTCACTGACGTGGTCAATCTATGTGAAACTGCACATAGGCATTGAGGATTGGCATAGGTAGAATGTGACAAAGCTACCAATGGGTATGGACTAGTTGTGAAGTAATGGGAAACGTGTTCCAGTGCTGCCTGTCTGTTCCTACAGGTGTACAAAATATAGTGTCATTTGGAGAGACTATCGGAACAATAAATTGAGTGCAATATCATACTCAGATTCTAAAAATATCTGTGCCAACCACGAACTGTAGCACCCTGGTTGCATTTGATAATCCGCAGATATTAAAATTCCTTCATATGACTGACATGGATCATTATTGTCGTTATCAAGATTTCCTCCTCTGCCACCCACCTCAAATTTCACAGCTGCATTTTGGATGATTTGGGCCGCAGAACCAGTTTATGTTGAAATGTGTTAGAAATCTTAGAAGAAAAATCCTAAGCAAAAACTGTACATTCCAACACTGGTGCTCGGAGCTTTAATAACTGACAGATGAAATAATATTAGTAGTGGTTAGCTGTTACTTGGTTGTAAAGAGACATTTCCCACATGTTCAGTTTTGTTTACTGATGAGACTGTTGCCTGTTGCAGGTCATGCTGTGTAACCCTGTGTGTATACTGGGCTATACGATAGCCAGCTGGCGGTTCTTCCGGGAGCGAATTGAGGAGGAGGAGCTCTCCCTCATCCATTTCTTTGCCGAGGACTATGTGGAGTACAAGAAAAAGGTTCCCACTGGGCTGCCCTTCATCTCAGGCATCCATGTCAACTAGTCCCTGGACCTGGATGCTGGACTCAGCAGACTTTAAGCACTAAGGCTCGTCAGACCTGGTGGGTGTGTGGCATCTGCCATTGTGGCTGCCCTCCAGAGGGAAACCCTGCAGCTGGCTGAGAGCCTGTAGCTCACAGACAGAGACTGTGACAACTGGGATGGCGGCACGCAGCTGGGCTGCTGTTTCTCTACCAACTTCCAAATCCAGTTAAAGACCGGACAACCTCCACTGTACCACATGTATTCCAATAACACCCATCCCATCTGTTTATGTTTGCATGCTTAGACCATGCTAAGAGTTTTCACTGATGACCTGCTGTTTAAAGATACTGCACTGGGATCTTTGATGTCATAAATCAGCAGAGAGTTAAATGACAATTCTCTGAAGTTTAATGCAATGTTTGGAGGGAATCCATCATGTTTATTTTTTTTTCTTTAATGATATGATATGAATATTTTTAAGAAGTTGCCACCATTGTCCCTAGTTCAGTAAAAAATCCACTGTTCCTAAATGTTCCTACTTTTGAGAAATGCTTAAAGGTAAAGTGTGTAAGAATAGGGGGATTTGGTGATGTCTAGCAGTGAATTACAGATTGCAACCAGCTAAAACTTCTCCTGGCTAGAATTCCTTGAGTGTTCATTGTTCAGAATGTTTTTATAGAGAGCCAAATTATCCACAACGATCCATTCATCACCACAACAAACAGACCAGGTGATTAAACTGGTAAAAACACTGAGTAAGGTGCCATACACATGCCATGTTTTTGCGCCCTCAAATTCATTGTTTTTAATGTAGACCCACAGCAGGTGCGCTCAAATGCCAGAGTGACACCATTGCAGCGCACACCCTTTCCCTAACGCCTGTTTTTCAGGGTGCAACAGTTGCGCCCTAAGATAAACAGAGTTCACCTTTTGGATCACAGCTGACAGACACTTCTCTCTTCATCCGAGAATCAGTCTGTAAAAAATATGGAGAAGTTGATCATTTTAGTGCAGGGCTGCCAGAGCTTTACATCTGTCCCACAGATAGTAGGCCTGGACACAAACCACACCTGGAAGAAGATCAGCTCTGCACTCTCAATTTCAGGTAAATAGTTATGATACGGTGCTTGTTAAGGTTGCCTAGCAACCTTAGATGCAGCCTGCTGCCACACTCTTGAAAGCTGGCACAAGACACAAAACGAGCAGCAACCAATGCCCAACCTCTTGTTTTCCAGGCGATTAAAGACATGGCCTGTGTATGGCCCCTAAAGCAGTTTCATGTTACCAACCAGTGTAACTCCAGCGCTGCTCATGCAGTTGGGCTTCTTACTATGGCAGCTGACGCGAAAACTCAGACGGCCCTATGTGGAGTCGGTGTTGGGTTTGTCTGATCTTGGCTACTGTAGAAACATGGTGGTGCAAAATAGCGATCTCCATAAATGAAGACCTGACCCATATGTAGACATAAATGGCTCATACCGAGATAAGGAGAACACAACAATTCTTATCTTCAGGTGATTATACATTAAAATAAACATACTTATTATGTTATGTTCTATTTCTGTCAATATATCCCCCTAAATCCTACACACTGGACTTTTAAAGCAATTCTCCGCTGGAAATAGTATCATTTAGATATCAGTCAGTCATCCCCTAAAGTAGAGCTCTTCACAGATCCACTCTGTGTCTAGTATCAAAGAGCCATCTCTGGGCATGAGGCTGTGTCAAAATAATTTTGAGTTCTATCAGGTCCCATAGGGTCCTGTTGTATCGCTGCAGGTCTCCGATCTGCATGTATCATTATGAGACCAATGGAGAGTGTGAAATGTGCAGGATAAACAACGTGTTTGCATTGTTAGGGCCAATTCTCTATTTTTGTTTTGTTATTGTAATGTGTTAAAACACGTCATGTTAGAGTGTGTCTTCCACAGCATGCACTACTTCGTCATGCCATGGCCTCCACATCGCTCTGGAGCTCTACCACAACTTGTGTGTTTAGGGTGAGAGTTAATTTAAGCAGCAGTTGAACATTCACATATTTTCGGTCATGTCCCTTATGATAATGTATTTTTTAAGGTGGAAAATCCTTCAACAGAATAGACCATGTGCCGCTCAAGCTGTCCACTAAAACTAAGAATATTGGTAGCTCTTTAAACACCACATTGGTAAACCGGTACAGTGGAGCAAGAAGTGACATTACATTTTTTTAATTTAAGAATTTATACTCAGAAGCTTTATGTAACAATATTAGAAGTAATAAATGTGTAATAGGTTTCTAGCAGGTTTTAGGGACTCCTTAAATGCAGTTTCTGTGGAAGCTCCATCATTTACAGATCACTAAATATATATAGCCAGTAGTGGCCTGATTTATGTCTAACCCTGATATCCACTTCCTCAATGTGCACTCTAAAACACAAATCACGGCATCAGTTTGAATGAAACTGTCAGGCAGATTTTGAAGGTTTTTTTATGAAGCTGCATAAAATGATAATTCCTTGTTTGTTTCTCTGTCATTTAACTGTGACATGTTTCTGTAGACAGGAGCATGTGGCATGATAGATTGTGATTCTACAAGTTGTGTTTCATCAAAGAAAACAAGAACTGGGTTTACCTCCTGAGCATTGTCAGTACAGGAATGGAAGTGTTGACATCAATCTCTGTTGTAGCCTCTCATTTCATTTTTAATATATAAATCTTGTTTTTGCTTTGCTTTGCGATAAGTCACCATCCTGAGGAGTACTATTTACTCTCATTTCTATCATCAGTTCATTGTTGTGCTTCTCCTTTTAAACCTTTAATGGTCATGATGTGTTATAAAAGAAAAAGACATATATTGGCAAAAGGGTTGAGGTAGGCTCACTCTGCAGCTCTCTTTCTCTCACTGATCCATCTGAATGTCTTCACAGTGCTGCTATCCACTCAGAACCCTGATCTAATTGTGTGTTTGAGAGGCTGGTAAAATAGTCTGAAGATTTTCAGGAGCAAAGATGCTCTGTAGGTAAATTTAAAAAAAAAATGAAAGGTACCCTGTGGTATTTCTGAGCACTAGTGGCACTGTAGTGCCATGTTTGAATGAGTATGAGTATGAGTATGTATGTATGTGTGGGTGTCAACAATGAAAACTTCACTAGGCAACATTTAAGAAAATTAATCATCTTATTCCGAATGTTTAGGAATAACACCATGTTTTTGGAAGATTGTCCCATTGCTTAACCAATGTACAAAAAAAACAACATCAAAAGGATTATTTTCCAGGGTAGAATAGAAATGTATAATCAGAGGTTTATGACACATTATCACATAGGGACTAAGTAAGATGCTATGTTGTGTTAGTTAGTCCCTTTGTGATATCATATAGGGACTAACTAAGATGCTATGTTGTGTTAGTTACAGAGTCAAGCAGGAGCTATGGAGGGGAAAAGAACAAATTTGTGTAAGCTACTATTTTGTACTCTCAAACAAGTGATGCACAGTTTGTACTTAATAATTGATTAATTGCATGTACAAATTAATTGAATGAATCCATAAACAGTAGTTGGCGTTTAAACATGTATCTAAGGAACGTCAAAGACATTTCTTTGGAAAAATGTGGGACTGTGGGAATCTCGTTCTCATTCATGTATATCCCTAATTAGATGAGTTATAGTTGCTAACGTCTTTACCCAGTCCATCACAGATACCTTAAGCCCCATTTCACCCAAGCAGTATGGTATGGTTCATTTCAGTTCGATACATGATTTTTTTCTGTTTCTACTGTGAAACGTTGTGGATGGAACCAATTGAACCGTCTGTCAGTCCGTTGATTGGTCAACAGCATACGGTTACTCTGCTCAGGGCTAAGTTGTGGCTGGTTTTGAGGCATATGTACCTTCCCTAGCCTTCCCATCCAGATGTTCCTCCTAGGAGGCCTTCACCATCGCCACAACAGGAGTCAGAGCGAGCTAAACCTCCATGTTAAATGTCAGCATTATGGTTCAGAATACTTCAGAATTCATTAGGATGAATTCTGAAGTGTTTGGGGCTACATTATCTGCTCAGATTCAACCAAATGCTTCAAAACTCATTGGATGATGCTTCACAGTGCAGATGGACATTGACCTGAAGCATATTGCAAAAGCAACCAAAGACATTTTTAAGGCAAAGAAGTGGAATGTTCTGCAATGGCCAAGTCATATCATCTGACCTGAATCCAACTGAGCATGCGTTTCTCTCGCTGAAGCCAAAACTGAGGGCAAAACACCCAAAACACAAGCAGGAAGTGCAGACGGCTGCAGTAAAGGGCTGGCAGAGCATCACCAGGGAAGAAACCCGGCATCTGATGATGCCTATGTGTCCAACACTTCAGGCAGTCATTGACTGTAAAGGATTTGCAACCAAGTATTAAAACTGACTGTTTAATTGATGATTATGTTAGTTTGTCCAAATACTTATGAGCCCTTAAAGTCGGGGGACTGTGTGAAGAAATGGTTGTCATTCCTACACGGTTCATACTACATTTTTGAAAAAAGCCTTAAATGAAAGCTGAGAGTCTGCACTTTAAGCAGGTATTCATCGTTTCATTTAAAACCCATTGTGGTGGTGTACAGAGCCAAAATGACGACAACTGTATCATTGTCCAAATAATTATGGACCTGACTGTATATAGACCTATCCTCTTAAAGACAGATTCAGAGCATATTTATTTCAGGTTACTGCCCATAAATATAGTGTGAACTATAAGCACCTCAACATAACTTAGTCATTGACCCTACAACTGTATGTTAAAGTTTTAGCGTGGCACTGACCTAATGTTACCTAGCATAATGCATGCTAACATTTTAGCTTGTTACCTTCAATAGACATTTTTTTTTTTTTTTTTTTTGTTTTACGATGTTGGCTTTGTACTACTAACTTACCACTTCCACTTTTTTATGCTACAGTTTTAGTACGATAACTATCACTACACAGTCTATGCTAAAGTAAGGAGCAGGCTAATGGCTACTGATCCCACTCAGGACTACTGCAAAACTTCACTTAAAAGCCTAGTCCTAATTAAACACCCAGTCCCTTATACTGGTTTGGTGTGGCTACACATTTTGACAAAGGCCTGTCTCAATTAGAAGCTTGGTCTGGTTGACGAGCAGTTCATTTTTATAAAATAAATGTTTACACTTTGTCAATATGGAGATGCTACATATTGTTAGCTTGATTAGATTTTCCGCGATTCAACTGTTCAGTTCATTTTACTTAAACTACAGTACTTCATACAGTATACAGTGATTCATTGAGATTTACCAGCCAAGTAAACAAGAGAGATGAAAAAAAAGTGGCAACTCACTACCTCTGAAGCAGTCATATAGTCAGAATATGTGTGCATTCCTTGATTACCCTCTAAGTTATTCATACTTCTTAATTTTCCATCAAAAGAATCAAATATTAATCCAAGTTTTGAGTATTGTTTTAACAGGATAAAGTGTTGTGTCGATATGCCATGTAACTACTTTCATCCTCAGGTGCAGTAAAACGAGTGTCGTAACTCTGTCTATCTGATGCGCTGTCTCTCGGAGCTAGACCAAATGAATGATTCATAATTGATATGTTTGAAGAAACAATTTCATTGCATTTCCCATCTTTGCTGAGCAACAGTTTTATGTAAAAGGAATTAAAGGCCTGTCCCATATAGACGCCTGTCTCGAATATAGGCCTGTTGAGTTCAGTGATTTAAGTCATTAATAACCTGAGCTATTGCTTGAAGTTTTACAGTGTCTTTGAACACAAGAAATATTCACCCAGTTTATTAAAATAGCTGACCAATGGCACAATCTACTGAATACTGGATTTCTGTAATTCAGGTAAAGAATGCACATGCGTTTTGGGGTGAGTGTTAACAGTCTCAGTTTGAAGTGACACTTGTAGCATATCTGTGAAGGGCACTCTGTTGAGTGAATAATGAAACTGCTGTGTGCAAATTGTTAGGATAATGAGTTGACTGTTGCAACATGGTACACCTGAGTTAAGTGTTGAATATGTTGCACTTTTATTGTATAGGCTAGGTGATCATTTATCATATAGGCCTGATTAAACAGTTTAAAAATTCTGAAAACTGTTACTGTTATGTCTGTATCATTCCCATTATGCAGATATGATTTATTAACTGGATAACCTGATGCTTAGGTCTACATGTACAACAAGATAAATAAAGTGGACATATCTGTGTTTGGGGTGCCACGGTGGTGTAGTGGTCAGCACCGTCACCTCACAGCAAGATGGTTAGGGGTTTGACTTGGTTGGTGACTCTAAATTGGTGTGTAACTGATAGTCCTGTGATAGTCCTGTGACCTGTTTAGGGTGTTTCCCCCCTCTTGGCCAATGTCAGCTGGGATAGGCTTCAGCCTCCCAGCGACCCTTCACCAGGATAAACAGTTATGGATAAAGAATAAATAAATATTGTATTGAGCCTGCTCTCCTCCTCCCCCTCGGTGAGTAAAAAACTGACATTCCCCACCTTCTTTGGAACCAAAGAACTGACCGTTCCCCCCCTCCCCAGCATTAGATTAACTCTGATTTTAATATATGTGTAAATGATAAAATTGTTTTAACCCTTTTTAGCATTGTGTTGTCTTTTGCCCTTACATTACTGGGTGTCAAATAGTGAATCAGCAGACCCACTGTAAGTATTGCAGTAGGGGTGTTATAACACCCCTAGGAATAAGTCCTAAAACTCAGAAATGAGTTAGCATTTTAACACTCCTGCTTCCCATCGTCTCTAAGTCAGTGGGTTTTTTGAATGGGTTTTCAATTAGGTGCCTTAAATAAGGTCTGTGGTTAACACGAGCTGAAGAGACTTTCATGTTTTGTTCCCTGACATAAAATTCGCCATACTGTGAACTGGGAAGCTTTTATGTGTCTTAAAAAAGATGATTGCTAACAAGTGGCTCAATGAGACTACAGAATGTCATCACGCTACGCTGAACACAACTTTACAGTCTTCTTTATGGTGGTGATGTTTATAGTATAACATTAGCTTTTTACTTCCGGACATATACATATACAGTATCTCACATAAGTGAGTACACCCCTCCCATTTTTGCAAATATTTCCCACAGTGAACATGTCCAAATTGTGCCTAAAGTGTCAATATTTTGTGTGCCAACCATTATTATCTAGCACTGCCTTAACCCTTTTGGGCATGGAATTCAGCAGAGCTCACAGGTTGCTTCAGGAATCCTCTCCCACTCCTCCATGATGACATCATGGAGCAGATGGATGTGAAGACACCTTGCGCTACCCCACCTTCAGCTTGAGGATGGCCCACAGGTGCACAGGTGAGTTTAGGGCTGGATACATACTTGGCCAGTCCATCACCTTCACCTTCAGCTTCCTCAACAAGGCAGTTGTCATCTTCTAGGTGTGTTTTGGGTCATTATCATGTTGGAAAACTTGATAATGAAAACTTGCAGCCCAGTTCCTGAAGAGGGGCGATCATGCTCTGCTCTGAATTCATGTTTCCCTAAATGAATCAAGCTCCCCAGAGCTGGCAGCACTCAAACCATGATGCTGCCACCACTATACTTGACTGTAGGCAAGGTACAGTTGTCTTGGTGCTCTTCACCAAGGTGCCACATATGCTGAAAGAACACCAAGACATCCATCCCTTGCTTACAGTCAAGTATAGTGGTGGCAGCATCATGGTTTGGGGCTGCATGAGTGCTGCCAGCTCTGGGGAGCTCGGTTCATTCAG